TTTGATCATGGATGGTCTAAAAAAGGAAAAGACAGCTTATTATTGTCAGAAGAGCCAAGAGTCCTGCAGCCTCCTGCAGCAGGCAAGCATTTAGTGACGGCTCAAGGCGCACACTTCCTCCAACACCCACCAAAATCTACTCCCTCCGCAACTTCCCCCGCGATCACTGACTCCATGACTATACTGGTGCTGACACCAGCAGCACTGGAAGGATCAGGCCCCGTTCCCCAGCCATGACAGGTACCTGTAACAGGCACTCGGGTTGGCAGGATAATTGACATTTCCTCCAAAGCTCAGACTGATTTCCCCCCACCCCGAGATACAAAAATAATCCAGCGAGGAATCACCGAATTTCTCAAAAAGAGGGGAAGGACGTTCGAGGGAGGAAACTGTGCTTAGTACAATAGGTGCTCTGTAAAAATCTGTTTATAATCCTCAATGAGACTTACTTTCTCAAGATAATGAATAGTTAAAGCTCTTTTAAAAATCAGTCTGACAAGTCGAATAATGCTACATTATGAAGATCAAAGATTCCAGAGGAACAGATGACCCCGTCCTAACTCCCCTTCCAGCCCCGATACGCTACCATATGTGCAAATATGAGTTTTTTGGCTGGGGTACACTAATAGCTTCCAGCAGCTTTTGGCTAAAGACGCCAATTGTCTCACTGAGGCCTTTCCTTGTCAACAAGTACCATGATGTGTGCTCCAGCTTGAAAACGAAAGAACACAGAGCCGTTTTAAGAACAGTCTACAAAGCTGTCAGCTGTGTGCACGTTCTGCATCCACCAGTTCTGGGCTCTGGGCAGTTTTAGACACCAACCCATCCCAAACAGCCCCGCAGAGAGAGCGACGAGCGCTGCCGCTTGGAGAACTAGTTTTTTCCAAAGATTTCTTGCCGTTTCTACCTTATATTCTTCAGAGCCCTGCAAAAGCTGCTTCAGCTTGGCGTCTAACTGCGTAAACCGTCGAGTTATCCTCTCTATCCGGGCGTGCAAGTCTCTGTACTCGTTGTATTCCGCATTGAAGTCATTTTTGTAACTCTGACGCTGCTCCGAAGAGGAAATGGCTGCGTATTTTCTGCGGGGAGAATAATTTAGTTCATCAGTTTATTAAGTCTTTGTCCACGCAGCACAAATACCACAAGGCCCAAATGGGGGTGATAAGCCTGCCAGGTGACTGCATCTGAAAACAAACACAGTCTCTTACGATTTGCATTACAGTAGCACAGAGGTAACCGTCAGGATTAGTGCCTTGAGCTCTGTGTAAAACAAGCCAGTGTTTGCTCCCAGAATTTGCTATCTGTGCCAGACAGGGTGGAATATGCAGGTACAGCAAAGCCTGGGAGCAGCTGAGGGTGTAGGAGGACATTCAGATAGCACTGCTACAGCTTTTCTAACTCCTGCTGTCCCGCAGAACATGGAGTTCTGCATCTGTGCCAGACCTTGGAAA